CAGGGGTCCCATGCTTTCACTTGTTTCCCTTCTGCTCCCTACATACCTAAAGAAGTACTTCCTTTTGTAAGTTCTTAAAGATGGAGCAGTAACAGCCCATACTATGCTGTGCTGGTTGCACATGGTTATTTTTCATTGCTACGTCACCATAGCAATGCGCTATAACAAGGGAGTGTGTTGCTATGATGACGTAGTGGTGGCATCACGGTTTTTGCCAGTGGATGCTGATGCACCCACAGAGTGATTAATTTATATGCCTGTAAATATCTGTCTAACCAACTATTCACAGCTTTCTCTACCAACATCTATGGTAACTAATCAGTTCATGAGTAGCTTTCAGATGCCCAGGGGTGTCAGTGCAATAGGGGGAAAATACATACATACATACATACATACATACATACATACGCACTGATTTTGTGGTGTAATCCTAAAATGGAATGATATATAAAGGCTTCTGGCCTCAGCAAAAACCTTAAAGGAAAAATATAAGTTAAGTGACGCTCTGGAGTTATAAACAGGTACTAAGTTTCTTAAAGTCTCTCCAGAATCCTATTTTCAGATTTCTTAATTGAAGTTCCTATTTCTCTTTCCTCTCCAGTGGCTGAGAGATTTTTTCTCCTCCTGAATGGTATCTATTTTGAATAGGTGTTTTCTTTGGCATCTTTTTTTCATTGTGGCAGACAAAACCCTGAACTTAAACAACTCATACGGGTGGAAACCAGCATCTGTTTGGAGGCCATATGCAACTCAAGATAAACACAAGGGTCCATCCAGAAATTGCTGACTGCAGTTACTTCCTCTCTTACTTGTCAAATTTGGTTCATACCAGAACTGTGCTAATTTTTTGATGTTGCACATGGGAACAGGACTGCATTGCACTAGTGAGCAGGAAAGACATGGTGAATTTTAATGAGAAAAGGCATCAGAAAAAGTTAAGTATGCTAAAGGAATTGTGAAAAACACACTGAAATGTGAGGTATATCCTGGGATAAATTAGACCAGCTAAAATGGACCTGCCAAACATGCCCACAGCAAAGCTTAAGAGACAGCTGAACTTTTCAGAGCTTTCAAACTTCTTAGTTTCAGTAACTTCAATTTAAAGGGGAAAAGAAATCCTACTTTAAAAATATTGTGTGTCCATGTACCCCAGCCAAAACAAACATCCTTAGACATTCAGGGCCTGATTCTGCTGTCCTAGCTCAAGAAAAGCTTCCCTCATAACCAGGTTACAGTGGAAACAAGCTCTTACCTGAGAACTGGCTCTTCCACAGATACTATTTAATTTGTGACATATTAAGGAAAAAACATAGAGCACCTTACAAGTCTAAAAAGATTATGGGAGTAATCACTGATTCAAAACCCAGGAATCTTTTCACTGAACTTCACTGACTTGAGCAGGCCTCAAATCACGAATGTCTAAACCAGCTACTATTGTAGAGTCAACAACATTTACATGTAGTTGGTGTAAACTGTTACTTACTCTTCTTCTGAGAAAAGCTGTCCCGATATTATGTTTTTAGTCCCAGGTGCATAATTCCAAACGGTCTCTGTAATTCCAAAGTAGTATTCTCTGGTCACTGCCCAGATTTGGCAACAGCAACAAGCCAAAAAGCAGATTAGTAAGAACAGCTTCATTTTGCAGTTACCAACCTTGTGGAAATGATAGAGTAAAAGAGGAGACAGACCCGCTTTCCCTTTATAAGATCATTAACCCCCCACCCTGCTTCTATGTGCCTTGGTGAACACAATGAAAGGTTGCACAATGGCTGAGCCCGCTGTGTTGTCAGAGTAAACAGGAGTTTTTGATTCCAGTAACTTGGTGAGTTTAAGTGAAGACATAGAGAAGAGATTTACTCAATGCAATACAAATCTGGATTTTAAAGAAATTGTAAACTACTCAGGTTAATGTGTGTTCATTTTTAAAAAGACTTGCAAAGACCTAAATGACACTAAAACTGTTTAATTTTGTTTTCAATGTTTTGCTTTTCCCCTCTAATTTTTATTCCTATCATGTTAAGACTATTTAGAACCTTAAAATCAAAGGTGGTGTCAGATTGATATTTCTGGCCCTGTGTTGATCTTCCAAAATAGAATTAGAAAGGAGTCAGGCCATGGAGCAGGAGAATGGAGCTGAGGGGTGGGCAGGTTTTGCTGCTACATGGTCCCCTGCCCTTCTGAACCCATACAAGCTCCTCTGCTACACCTTTGGAGGCCTGGTGCTCTAGAGCTTAGTCTCTTGCAGAGCATCTCTGAGAATGTGAAGACCAGAAACTGTTGACATTGACACAGAGCTCCACATCTAAATCACGTGCATTAGTCCTTAGAAGTACCATTCATCTATGGTCCTCCATTGCAGCCCTACAGAGGTAGGAGTTGTATACAGTGTTGCAAATAAGAGAATAGCAGCACTCTGCTGTGGGAAAAAATTGGATCTCCCTTTGTCACCCTACTTGAGGTTGGTGGTGTGTTTTTAGCCTCCCACCTTCTCTGCCCAAATGGAAATGTAGCTGTAAATCCCAGGGAGTGATCTGTTTGCAGTCCCCTAGTCCCATTCTTTCTCTTGTGAGCTATTAAGGAGGAGGGAGCAACATATCCTTTGTTTTCAAAAGTAAAATAAAAACAGTTCTGCATAATCTACGTGCAGGATAGTGTGTAACTGCAAGGCATAAATTATGTAGAATGGCCAAGATCATCTGGTCTTCTAGCTCTGATGAAATTTTTCTACTAAATATAGCAGGTTCCATTGTCCAAGGTTTGGCCCTCTGGCAGGGACCTTTCGCAAGACTGGCCACTGCAATGGATATTCCAAAAGCTCCTAAGTAAAAGCTTTGTGGAACTTGTGCTTCTAAGGGAAAGCCTCAGCTTCAAACATGCTTTGTGCAGAAGTATGCAGGATAGCCTTAAATTTCATGAGCTGCTGTTGCTGCTGCAGTGGAAAACATACCCTAAATGGTTAGGAAAATAAAATATTTGAACTTCAACTCACCTTGAACTAAACACCTAAGAAAACAGAAATATTAAGTAATAGAATTCATATTTATTTGTCAATGTCTGGCTATAACCAGACCTCAGAGGTACCTGAATCTATGATTAACTTGCACAGTTTCCCCAAGTCCTATGACCCCAGTGATACACTGGAAGTTGGCTCCCTCTTTCTGAATGGAGGTCAGTGGCCTCTAAATCAATTTCTTACAGTTTATAAATACCTTCACCTGCCACTAATTCACTTCTCTCTCTCTCTCTCATTCTCTTTTGAAATTCAGAGTCATTTTTCAACAATGAGTTCAGTGAGTAGATGGGTCCACTGTTCATCTGGTTGTTTTTTCCCCCTGCTCTTGAGTTTGGCAGAACAGCCACATAAACAGTCTCTTGAAGTGGGAAGCATCAGGAACTAAATGGTCCCTTAATTTAGGCTGGTCATTCCTTGGTTTGCAAAACAACACAGGCAACTGGTAAGGGGAGCATGGGGGGCACATCCCCCCCGCCCGAGATAGGCCCCGTGACTCAGCACCGCTCAGGACAGGGCAGTTTTTGTGCCACGTGGGCTGGCAGTGTGTTGGGGGGTCACTAAGCCACAGCACAGAAGTACAGGAGTGGATATGGGGCTTTTGGCCTGCCCCTGGGCCTGCCACAAGGCAATGTGAAGATACTTGTCTGTGGATAAGAAGGGTTGTGAACTTTTCATGTTCACTAAACTTTCTGCATCTTGCTTTGATTTAAACAATATAAATGTGTAGTTTATGTGTCCTTGTTGAGAGTAAATATGGAGCCAGGAGACATAACCACAATCAAAAGAAGAGCTGGAAACCATCAGTCCTTCTCGGCTGTACTAAGGAAAAAATCAAAATCCAATCATGCTGACCCCTACCAATTGTTTCTTATGGTTTATGGATATCCTATCGGGAGCCGTGTTTTTTTTTCCTCTTCTCAAGCAAATTCATGTCATTTCAGTTTATTAGACCATATATAACTGATAGAGAGGCATTAAATAACATTTCCCTCTATGCCACTTACTGTAAAAGTCCTTTAAAAATTTCCTTGGTCTCATTCAGTGTAATAAAAAGCATACCTCCCAGTAATGCCTACATGCATAACAAGATAAGCCTATATTACAGTCTTGGTTAAGAGGGAGCCCACATACAGTACTTTGTTTGTTTCTTTTCCTCAATACAAAGGAGTCTTTTACCTAGTGAAGGTTTTGTAATTCCTAAGGGTTTCAGCTCTGAACACCCATGGCGTAAGAGATCTTTGCTGTCAAATGACCAAGAACATCTAAATTATTCTGAAATTCTCCAAAAACTGACAATTCCATTGTGTTCAGAGTTGGAAACTGAAATAAACAAGACCTTTGACTGGAACAGTGAAGAGATCTTGTTTTTTTCTCCTCAAATATTATACCCAAACATTCATCACCTTACCTATTCACGACCCTTGGAGTAGGGCAGTGGTCTCCAACCTTTTTAAGTAGGAGATCACTTCTTGAAATAAAAAGCAACCCAAGATCTACCGCATGCCACTCCCCCCACCCCCGCTGTCCAGCAGGTCAGTCTGGAGGGGGGTGCAGATCAAGGCGGAGGGAGAAAAATTTATTTGGAGGCATGCCACCCCAGCAGGTAAGTCTGTGGGGGAGTGGGGAGGGGAAAGGGCCGTGGGGTTGTGGGGGGCAGGGCAGATAGAGGCTCCAGTGGTGAAGGAGGGTGCAGGGCACAGGCAGGAACAGGGGCTAGGGTGAGAGGGGCCCACACTGGGCCAGGTGATGGGACAAGTGGAAGCCTGGGGGGCACATGATCCCTTCCCCATTTGCCCCACCACCCAGCCCAGCTGGGGCCCCACTCCCCCCAGCCCCTGCTCCTGCCTGTGCCCTGCTCCCTCCCTCATTGCTGGGGCCTCGATCTGTCCCACCCCACAGCAGTGAGGGAGGGAGTGGGGCTGGGGCAGAGGCAGGCCCTGCACAGCCAGGGCATGGGACAGAGCCATGAGCGGCTCATTCCCTTCCCCATTTGTCCCACCACCCAGCCCAGCTGGGGCCCCACTCCCCCCAGCCCCTGCTCCTGCCTGTGCCCTGCTCCCTCCCTCATTGCTGGGGCCTCGATCTGTCCCACCCCACAGCAGTGAGGGAGGGAGTGGGGCTGGGGCAGAGGCAGGCCCTGCACAGCCAGGGCATGGGACAGAGCCATGAGCGGCTCATCTGGGGGCATGGGGAAGGGGAGGGCACACACCCCAGGGCGAGGGCATGGGGGCAAGTGCCCATGGATCTACAAGGGGCAGGGCGGTCTGCTGCTCAGGCAGTGCTGGGCTCTTCCCGGCGGGGATGCTGGGCAGGGCTGCGCTCAGGCTGGATGGTAGGGGTGCTGGGATGGAGGTTGGGGGGGCTATGTCCCCCACTTACCCATAGCCCCGCTCCCAACACGGCTGCTGCCTGGCCTGAGTGCACCCTGGCCCAGCCCGCACCAGCCTGGCACAGCCTCCTAGTCCCAGGCTGCAGTGGCAGTCTTCCCTTCCCTGCACAAATCCTGGGCGCACAGCCCCCATGCCCTCGGGAAGGGAAGAGGCTGGGGCTGGGAGGTTGTGCTCAGCTCTTCCCAGGGAGGTGGGGCTAGGCTGAGCTGCGGTCAGGGTGGGCAGCAGTGGCACTGGGAGGGGGGGGTGAGGGAGCTATGGTGAATTTTTGGGTGACTTCAGCCTCTTCCTCCCCACCCCCCAGCCCTGTTCCCAGTGCCACCTCCACCGCCCGCCCTGAGTGCAGGCTGGCCTGGCCCCCACCAGGAAGAGCCTAGCACTGCTCCGGCCCCAGCATCTGGGGGCACACACCCCCCATGCCCTCCTGGGATGCATGCACCCCCACTTCTTATACCCCCCAGATGAGCTACTCATGGCTCCATCCCATGCCCTGGCTGTGTGTGCAGGGCCTGTCCCTGCTTCACTCCCCCCACAAACTGGCCTGCTGGGCTAAGGTGGGGGCAGCATGAACATGCTCAGCCTAACCCCCCTCCCCCTCCCCCGCCCCCGCCTCCGGCCGACTCTCTCCACGATCGACCAGTCAATTGCGATAGACTGGTTGGGGACTACTGGAGTAGGGCCACAGCATTACTCCAAGGTATGTGCTGAGGCCTAGGGAAATGACAAGTTGTACGGGTGCACAGGAAGCCAGTTTTGCACGCATTCCTCTATACCGTGCACCTCTGAACCTGCGATGCCACCTTGAAATGTGTTCTGGGGGATAACACTCTTGTTCCCTTAGACACCAAACTTAAACTTCAGGCCTTACAAGGCACGTTTACATATACTCTGGAGGTGGAGGGGGTGTGGGGCAGCTCTTCAATTAGAGCAGCAGGAGCGCTGGTGTGTCTCATGTATCAGCATCTTAAAAATGCACTTAAAAGTGGTGGCAGAAGCACCTGAACTAAAGCTCATTCGACAACCTTTAGTTCAAGCGCCCCCCACTGCCATTTTGAAGTGCAGAGATGCTGATACATGAGACACAGGAGGTGCCAAGCTCCAACAGACTCAATTAGCTGAGTCTGCTCCAATGTGCTGGAATTCCAGTGCATTGGAACAGCCTTGCTGCTCGTGCACAGGCACCCACAGATGTGAGTCCAGTTCTTTTCCTTAACACTGGCTACCTGTTTCTGACACATCCTGGCTTGTTTTCTTACCTGCTTTTATCAATGTGTGCGCTACCCCAGTACTCTCTAATTTATATCCACTTCTCATGAAACACTCCTCGAGAACCTGTCAGGGATTAAATCAGTGTTACTTGAAGAAGAGAACCCAAATCCTGCAAAAGTCAGTAGAGAATGACATCCCATATATTAGGGGTTTCTTTCAAAATATTCTATAAAGGAACACAATTTTCTATTAAAGTCAATAGAGTGGTTCCAAATCTCTGGAGAAATGATGTTTTTTAGTCTGGGGTTCTTTTATCTAAACGGACTTGAGTAGCTAAGGAGAAAGGAACAAAAACCTATTAGGCATTTTGGTAACATGCTGCTGAGTCTTGACCTAGGTCTTTAGATAGAAACTGTCTTTCTGAGGGGCAGGCTGTTACTCAAACTGAAGTTTGTGCTTGATTCAGAATCACTGGTGAGGCTTTTTTTTTGGGTCTGTGTTCATGCAGAAGCTCAGACTAGATGATCATAGTGGTCCCTTCTAACCTTAAAATCTATTAGTAACGCTGGAACTGAAGCCTCATCTTGTATGCTGAAGCCAATGAGCCTAGCATCAGGCCTTGAATGTCTGAAGTATTCACAAATTCTAAATAAGGAAGACAAAGAGGTCATGTGAAGAACAGATATACAACATTTTCTTTATTGAAAACAATAGTGGTCCCCTGGGAAGGCAGTTCCACAGCACTGTGCTTCCCCATAATTGAAACTGGAACTGAATAGCAAAATGAAAGATACACCATTAGCATTGCCCCTTTTTTATATAAGATGATGCAAATGTTCTATTTTTAGCTATTTAGAACAATTAAAATAACTAATAAAAGTACATGCCACAAGATTAATGTGGGTAAGAGACAAATTGTAACAGATGGGAAATTTGTTTTGGCACCCACGAATTTACCAGTAAAGGCAGGAGAAGGGAGTCCCTTTTAGCAATGAAGATTTTTCTGCCACATTCAGATAATCCCAGGCTGCAGAAAAAAATAGAAAGACATCAAAGAGATTAACATTTTTACTTTGCATTATAATATAGAAGTTGTACAACAGCAACACATGCTCATGGTACTAAATCAATAGCTTCCTGAGAAAGAGAAACAAAGGACCCAGATCTGTGCCCAGAGGAAGAGAGCAACATAATTGTTCAGTGAAATCAAGATCAGATTGATAGACTGAGAACCATCTCCTCCTTTCAAGAGCACAGTATTGAAATACTGACATTCCTATGCTGGGCTGTTACAAAGGAGTCTCTATCTCACTCTAGTCTAGGCATTTTATTTCCTGAATGATCCTTTTGTCTTCTTTCTTGATTTTCAACATTTCATAAGGGGGATTGGTGCCCTGCAATGTCTCCATCTTCCGCATGTTTTGCCTATAACTGCAGAAGATTTTGCTTTACAGGCCAAGACAAACAAGCTGGGTTTTTCCTTCCGTTCTTGTGCTGCCTGCCAATAGATTTTTGATGCAAGAAACTTTCTAGAGGAAACTAGTGATTTCCACAAAGACAAAATAAGCAGGCAGCTGTGCTGTGCATGTTCTGCCTATGATGGACATGGACCCTGCATAAGAACATGAAGCGCTACCTAAACCTACTGAATGTAGTCACCATTGAACTCTCACTTCTAGCCCTACCAAGCAGTGAAATGTACCCTGCACTCACAGATGTTGTCTGCTATGGCTGAAAATGATTTGGCACCATAATGCCAACCAGTGTCACAAAACTGATGTCATTCACCCTGAAGGGACCAACTGTAGGGATACCTTGGTTCCTGTCACAAGGGCCTACTGATATGGCACCCAAAAAAAACATATCAATATGGTAAAGTCTGGAGTGGCAATGCTACCCTTTGCCATGAAACCTGCCTGATGACAAAAGCAAAACCTATGCTAGAAGGCCGGTGTCATGTATTCTTTACATGTTCAGTACTGATGCTGAATTTTCAGGGTAGCCTGTTCCCTCCCAAGCTCCCTGATCCAAATTGGAAGGGCTTTCAAGTGAGTAGTCAGAAATCCCTGCATATCCTAAGAGATTTTCCTGTGGATTGAATACTACCTGCCAGCAGTACCTTCACTACAGGACCTGGTACTAGTGTTAGCTTTCCAGTAACAGGTGGAGTACATGTAAACAAAAGCCCAGATCCTCACTGTTTTCCAACATCTGAGTGTATGTCTACAGCTCTATGGCAGAGGGTGCTGCCTCACTGATGACAAAAGAAGTCCCATCCACACTGCATGTCTAGCAGCCCTGAACATGAGGCAATGAGGATGCCTTGACAGCACATGGGAAACCTAGGTCTTGAGCAGGTGCCTGGGCCACCTCTTGGGGCTTCCTTGCAGCTGCCTTTTAAGATTCCTGGGCAGACACGTGTAGGCAGGGCTTATTTCATCTGTAGCAAGCTGTGCTGTAGACATGCCCAGAGTGAAACTGATGGAGCAGTGCTGATTAACACCACCTGAAGCCAACAATGCTCCAGATATTTTGTTACCTGGATAAAGACAGAATAGGTCCCACAGAGTATTCGTTTTAACTCAGCAATAGCTTTGAGGAAGCAGATGATCACTTGAAGTCCACTTAGTGCCATTAGAACAGAGAATAATATGATGTTCCATTTCACTCCATTAGTGGGTTCGGTGCACTGAGACCAAGAAGTGTAATTGATGAGGTAACTAGCAGAGAAAGAGCAATATGAGGAAATTAGATTTGTTAAATGTGATTAATTTTAACACTTGATAATAGTAAATCCAACAGTCATGATAGGAAATAATAAAACCTATTTATTTTGAGATCTGGGAGCCCAATCCTGGTCTCTGTTATGCTACTGATGTAAATCCTGAGCAGTTTTGTCAAACCTTAGGGAGTTATTAAAGATTTTTGCTGATGTAATGGGGACCAGGATCTGGAGCAGAGTTCCTAAAATAAAAGTCCTCCTGCATCATTTACTTCACTGCATCTTCTGCAAATACCACCTGATTTTAAGAAGAGACCACTTAGAAGACTTCTGTTTCATGAAAAGTAGACAATTTGCTGTTGATTAGTTGTAACTGAGGTTGATATAGTTTTATTATCATTTAATAGGAATGCTCAATTATTGTTGTTTCCATCTGACAGGTGCATGGGATGGTTGAAGGCACTGCCTGAAGGAGTAGCACCATCTTGCATATCCACTGGGTCAATAGGGCTATGCTTTGCCTCCCTGCCACCTCTATATGGTATGTGATTGACTTTGACCACTGCATCATCATAAGATGAGTAAGATGGTGCAGTGTGGTGATTGGTTCCAAGAGCAATCACTGCAATTATATCTGTATTTTTTTAAATACATTCCTGGCTGGTTTCTCTTTCACCAATACTAAGTTACATGATTTGGACTGAATCTGGAATCTTTTACTCTGCATCTGGCCCTTCATGGTCAAATCAAGCTCTTTCTTTATGAATTAAAAATGGAACATTAATATGTGTAGTAGCCATGGTGATAGTAAAGACAATACTGATGGTGTTGACAGAACATCATAATGAAAACAACTTCATGCAAGCACAATTATCTACTTTATAAGTCTCTTCCTTAAACTACAATAGACCTAAATGGGAGATAGCTGCACCTATATTTTTAGGAAACAATCCTGCCTTGTCAGGTAATGTGGCTCTTCATTTTTTGTTGTCTGAGATTCTATGACTGATCAAGAGAAGTTGACATTATTGCAATGAAATATGTACATATTGTATAATTTTTCAAAAGGCACTTCAAAATATCCATGTTCATGGTTGATACAAGCTGCAGATCTTGATTTGACACATGCCTGGGATCTCAAGGGCATGTTATTTCTGAACAGTGCAGCACTGTGTAGATCTAGTGTGGGTTCCTCTACCTGGCACTGCACTGTGCAATACAGACATCCTGGGTGTTAAGTCTGCAGGATGAGTTGAGCTCTAACCTTTCTTTGTAAAGGTGCAAAAATATTTGTGTTTGTGTCCTGGGCACAGTAATAAGGTTGAAACACCTTTGTCTCAGTATGGTTTGAATAAGCATGCAGCTATTCCATGAGTATAAATTTAGTGTAGCCTTTCTTCATACTATCAACCAGGTGATCAGACTGACTGATAGCAGGGATAGTGCAGGGCTACACACAAATTCAAAGTGCATTTCTCTTCTACTCTTTTTATATATTAGAGGTTCTTTTATTGAGCACACATCGTTGCATATGACTATTGATTGATTAATGATCTTTACAATTAGCCTTTATGTCTACTGTACCCAGTTTTGGTTGTTCTACATACTTTCCTCATGGTCAATCCTGTTTGGTACCACACACCTTTACAATCTACTGATTAACTCACTCAATCACAGTGTTCCCTATTACCCCTGCTTTTACCATACTTCTATCTACTCTCACAGTTTGTGCTGATTCTAGCCATCTCATGATATTTTTCAGCAGAATCTATATGTTGTGAGGTATCCTTCTGCCTTTCACAGAACTTTAGACCTCCGGGCTTTTAACTCTTCTGGGTCTGTCTTATGGCTTACAGTGATAATATGGAGGTAAGTTAGAATTTAGCTGTAAAACATTCTCTGAAGGATCTTTTTTAGCTTTTAGATTTTATGTACAATTTTATAGCAGACACATTTGTGTTTCTTACCCCCCTTCAGTGTCTTTGAAGAGGTACTCCCAGCCAGTTGGTGTATTGCAGAATGGGCCCTGCACAAGCCCCAGAGTAGAGATGATTACACTGTATCCAGAAAAAGCAATTCCAAGCAGGGCTAACACAACTGAAATGAAGCTCTAGGTTGAAGACAGAATGGGATAATGTGTTCAGCATGGGCAAATAATTGAACAACCATTAGACACATTGCCCTAGTCAATTTAGGGCTGTGCGAAATTTCACTGGCAGTTTCGTTTCAATGCTGTTTTGACTCGTTTCGAGCTCAAAACAGCAAAATCGAAAGGAAACAGAGAGCTTCGAAATAGACTCAAAGTGAAATGAGGCAAGTCAAAATGTTTTGAAATAGTTGAAACATTTCAAATTTCAAACCTCAGGCTGGGCTTGCCTGCAGGGAAACAGAAACTAAAGTAAGGAGAGGGAGGGGGAAGAGGGGAGAAGGGGCAGAAGGAGCGCTCTCATTATTGACTGTGTAGCTGGCCAGTGACTCTCTTCCTTTCCTGAGGTCCCTTCCAATCCCAGTGCTCTGGGGGAGGCATGGAAAAACTGCATAAAAGGCAGCATTGTTTGAACTGCCCTGCTTTCTGCCTTGGTGTCAGTTGAGTGAGGGCACACCTTAACACACACACAGTGTCACCCACCCATGTCACGAATTTTGCCTGTCAGTAGCTAGAGATGCAGGGCCCCAGAACCCAGACTCCCCCTGCACCTATCTCGACAGCTGGCAGGCTTCATGGCCACAGCAGGGCCTATCAGGCCTGCAGTTTTCACCCCCCTGTGCCCCAAGACAGACACAGTCCCACAAGCAACCATGTCATGAGTTTTGCCTGTCAGCAGCCAGAGGTGCAGGGCCCCAGAACCCAGAAGCCCCTGCACCTATCTCCTTGAAAGCTGGCAGGCTTCATGGCCTCAGCAGGGGCTAGCAAGCCTGCAGCTTTCACCCTGCTGCGCCTTAACACAGTGTCAACCATGTCACGAGTTTTGCTTGTCTGCAGCTGGAGGTACAGTTTCTCCCAAACTCCTGTACCTATCTCCTTGAAACTCGGCAGGCTTCATGCCCTCAGAAGGGGCTACCATTCCTGCACGTTTCATCCAAATCAGGCCAGAAATTACAAAGGTATAGGCTGTTTCGAGCTTCCCCATTATAGCCTATGGGCAAAACGTCGAAACAGCATCAAAACAGCGACACTGTTTCGACGAAATTAAACAGAACAGCGGTTTCAAATCAAAATGAAATTTGAAACAAAATGCTGTTCCGTCAAAATGCAAGCTGAAATGGAACAATGCCGTTTCACACAGCCCTACTAGTCATATTTCCAGGTTTGCATCACCCACCCACACACACATCACACAGTTTCCCAAATTCAGAACGATAAGTGTGAGGTGGATAACAGCTAGTCTTCCCTGGCAGTGGAATTAGGACGCTGCCCTCCAAGGGAAAATACTGAAATTTCCCAGATGTAAAGACTAATCACGGCCCGCTGGTTTTTTGGATTTCACTTTTGTAAAAGTGTTTACTTGAACGCCAGGAATACAAACATTTTTTACTTGTTTGCAAGCCACACAGCATCTACAAAGAAGATTTGTTTTTAAATGTGGTAAAATAACTCAGAAGCTGGAGCAATTCAGCAGGGGCAGAGAGACAAAGGCCATGAGTGGTTATCTTATCAGGCTTTTATTTCCCATCTTGCCCAAGTAGCAAAAGAAAGCTGGGCTTGCTGTAATCAGTTGGGTGGTTTCTACCCAAAGCAGGATTCTCTAATATAGAGACAGGAAAAAATGAGTTGAGCAGGGAAGGGACAAATTCTGAATATAGAAACAAAAGCAAAACCAAGACTCACCCTGTAAGTTTTGTTGCAGCTCTCGCTCTGGCAGCACTGGAAGAATGTGTCATGCTCCAGCAGTATCAGAAGAACTGCTAACACAAGGATCTGTAAGGGGGAGACTGTGAGATGAGTAGGAATTGCTGAAGATATTAGCCCTGATTCCTCCTCTCTTTAGAAGTGCCCGTGAACTGCTGCCATTCTGTGAGCTGAGGTTCTGTACCCACTTTGCACAGATGTGTATGACTCCAGGTTGTGGCGCAGGGAGAATTTGTGCCGCTGCATTTATTAGACTCTGCCTGCAGTAGATGTGCTCAAAGACAAAAGTGCTGTACCAGGACAGCAAGGCACTCCTGGGCCTGCTCTACACCAGTTTTGCAAGTGTAGCTACATTGGCTAGAGCAGAGGTGGCCCACTTGTTGCATGTGGGTCACAAGTGGCACAGGCAGCCCCTGTGTGCAGCAGATTGGGAAAGGGGTAGGCCAGATAATAGCAGCCAGGGCAGAAATAAAGCAGCAGAGAAGGAGATCAGAGTGGTACTTGGGGAAGGTGCAGGGATGCAACTGTGCCACCAGAATATATCTGTTTGCTTAGTTTTCTGTTTGCAGAGGAAAGACAGGAGGGCCCTGCCACCAGCAAACTTGTTTCTGTCTATGCCTCAGCTCCATAATATAGACAAGACTTTGGTGTGGCTGCTGCTAGACCAGCAAACCTGCAGTTTGTACCAGGATGGCAAAACTACCTTTCCCATGTGCTATAGAGTATAGAAGGTCAAGTTTGCTGGCATGACTGAAGCTACTCTGGGGCCTTCTTTTGGCTTGGTGCTGAAGTCAAGGATCAAGGTACTTACCACCATGCTGGCGAAGTCTGTACTGTAGGCACATGTTTAGATTAATTTGTTTGAGGACTTTTACTTTGCCAATTGGCCACCTGCCACTTCTGGATATTCTATTTGCAGTTGTCTATGGAGTAACTTCACTGATCAATTCTTGGACTTTAGAGCCTAATAGTTGCCAGCATTAAAAAGAAACATGCTTGGAGGAAGCGAGGACACTGGTCACTGTGTGGGGAAGGTGGGGCAGTGGGGGCTGGGTTGCGGTGGCCTCTGAAAAGGAAGAGGATTTCTTTCCTGTCATGTAAGGATGGAAGGAAGATGGCCTCTAAGTTTAGGAAAAGGGATAATGTAGCTAAGGAATTGACAACACCATTGTTTTAACCATCATATTGTGAAGATCAGTTTAATGCCTTAAAATACTTGCCACCACATGGAGCTCTGCCTATACCAGCACTCCCATCATAGCCACAGAACCAATGATAAATACCAGTTCAAATAGTCAGGGATAGGCACAGCTGGAATCTTGCTGCTGCCCAGTTTGTCCAGATCTTCAGCTACATGTATTTTTACCCCTTGTATTTCTAGGCCTCATTACACTTCCCCTAAATTAATCATTGCCAGATGTATATTTTACAAAGGACTGATGTCAGAAGAACAAGCTTGGTGCTACCACAAAATAAGGCCTTGTGCTTTCACCTTTCTTACTGAACATAATTTATATTAATATTAACACTGCCTAAATACCAAAACTTGGTATGCAGGTTAGGGTCAGTATTTCTTCATATGTGTATTGCAGACTGCGGTGATCAAGCACATACAATGAGGCAGGAGGTTAAGTGACACTGCTCATTCAGTAAGCAGATCTTATCTTTAGTAACACAGTAATAACAATGGTAAAAGGTTAAGGAGGGAAAAAGATACTGCTCTTAAAGCGTCACTGATTGTAACTGATCTAAAAATGCATTGGTCTTGTACGCTGCCAGACTTCTGCTATAGTGGTTCTAGCAGAGCCCACTGTGTTATGCACGGTGTATCAGAACCATACACTTAGTAATGCTAAAAATGATATGTTTTATGTAAAGCCAAATCCAAATAGATGGTTAATTCTACTCCACTCCCCCCGCCACCACAGCAACACAAGCTTAAGTTACAGGTTGGCATACAGAGCACAAGCCAACCTCTCAAGATAATGCACAAATCCAAACATAGTCACATCACTGTTATTCATCTGTTGATCAGTGCCCCAGGTTTGTTTTTGACCAAATTTTCTATCTTTAGAATTAGCTAAAATAATGTGTCCCCTGTCCCTGATCTCCCTCCCCCGATTGTAAAGCAGAATCAGAAATATGGCAAAATCTTAGCAGTCACAGTTCAATAAAATCCATAGAACCAGCACTTACCATCACACCAGAGAAACAGATTCCTTCAAAATGCCACACATAGTTGATGTGGTTACTGACATCAAATGAAGCTTTTCCATTGGGGAAGTATAATAGGATATTAACTGCAATGCACCAAAGTGCAAGAAGAATCAGCAGACAGCTCAAACAGCTGCCACACTTTTGTAAACCCATCTCTGGAGGACTTAAAATATTTTCTGTTCTATTGACTTTAAAGCTGCAAAGCCTTGCTCTCTTTTTCTTTTGATGTGGTCATTTCATATTCCTAGGGACCTGGTTCCCAGGGCTTGGTTTGAGTCAAGCAGTCCCACTGCTAAAGAAGAGCTTTGTTGTTCCTAGGATAAGTACAACTGGCAGAAGGGTCAGCCTTTGTCCTGTGCTGGAGTGTGGGGCTGTTTTCTTTAAGAAACTTTGTGTTTCTCTCCAAGAAGTATTCCCTGGGGACTCTCAGGCTTAAATGAGTGTCTAGAATTGAAAATCAGGAAGGAACTTCAGACTGAGGTATGATGCCACCACCTATAAGCACAACAATTTCCATCTGCTAGCTTACACGTGCATTACAAATTAACTAATCCTGACAATGGGAATGCAATCTTACTAACACTAACATCCTTTATGTATTTCTTATTCACTGTTTCACAGCTACTCTGTGGGGTAGATGTTTTATTCCTGTCCCTACCACTGACCTACAGACACTGGGTGGATCACTAAACCTCATGGCACCCGTTTCTCCTGGGAGGCTACATGTATTGTCTAGACAGAAAAAGTGTGTTGCCTAAGCTGCAGTGAGAGCCAGGCTTGCAGTTCAGCAGAGGCACTGGCTGAAGGCACCCTGGTAGCTTTACCTAATATCTGTAAACAACATGATCTAAAAGAGGAGAAAGAGAGGAGGGTGATGAGTCAGCTCATACATCTGGACTAGCCAGAACCAACTGACCAGAGCTTCTAGTTTGTGGAAAGTACTTTATCTTAGTACTTTGGTTTTGGTCTGAATTGGACCAGAACAAACAAACAAAAAAATTAAAATGTTTTCGGACCAAGATACTAAACATTCCTGGGTTGGAAAAGCCAGAACAATACGTTTTTGCAATGAGGTATCTTTGGACCCTATGAGTGCCCTGCAATCACATCAGAGCCAAGAACATCATTATCACTGAGCAGCTCTGGGGGCTGCCAGGATCTCTGGCTCTTCCCAGGCAGATTGCCCATGACCCACAAACCATGGGAGATCATCCCAAACATCCAGGCTCTGAGACATGGCTCTTCAGTAGGGATCCTGAAAAGTCCTGACAGTCCTGGGTTCAGCCATGGTTCTCAGGGGCTCCCTGCTGCAACTCCCAGGGCCTATACACTCTTGATTACAAAGCAAAGAACCTGGCAGACTGAGGCAGAAAGCCAGGCCAGGGCATAGCTCATGGAAGCCTGGGACCAGTTGCATATGATGAGCCTGTCCCAGAGCTGCAGTTCTCAGGAAGGCCTGCTAGGCCTGCTGCCCCTGTGTTTCCAGGAACATGGGTGATGTTCTAGGGCAAGCATCCAGCACAGGGACATTGGAACAACGGCTTGGCTGCTTAGTAAATGGCTCTGGCCTTCTTGTCTTGCCTTCTGTTTGTCAGAAATGACCAAAATCCAGCAAAGGTGCAAAAACTCAAAAAGGAAATTGGTATTGAATAAAAAATGCTGATCCTTCTGGAGGCCTATCAGGTTGTGCTAGGTGGGGGAGGGGAAGGAAGGGTTATCTTTAATCAAAGATACGTATGAACTGTTTTTTTCCTAGCTGTATAGTGACTCTAGGGTCCTCCCTTTAAAGCTGCTGCTGAGCTCTGCTGATATTATGCATTATTCATAGTAGTAAATAGCTCTAAGCATGACAAGTGTGCAGTATTAGTACTTACTGCGCCACTCTATCACACCCTTCCTTTGACACGAGTCTCACTTTCTTTACTCTGCACCTTCCTCCTTTCTCTAAGAGTCTCTCCTTTCCTTAGAGCTCTGGATTCCTTGTTATCATGTCTGTCTTATAAACTCAATTTTGACGTCTGGTCCTGTGTCTTTTGAATTTGGCAGCAAATCTCCCTCTGCAGCTTGGCAGGCCTGAATGGGATTCCCTTTCTCAAGGTTCCTCCTTAGGGCTCAGAGATGACACTTCATTAAAGCAAGACATAAGTCAACTATCCACAGGTTGGACCATTATTGAAGAACTCTGTAGCTTTTCAAGAACTTGTCCATTTTTTCTTTTAGGAACTTATGATAAAAAAATGTGTGTGTGCACCTTTCTAATGCAAGTTGCTGCTGTTCCTAGTCACAATCTGTTCTCATCAGAAGAGGGAGGACTATGCCTTTTGGCAAAATACAGCTTCACGCACAGGATTTTTTTTCTACACAAGTTCAAGAGGACACAATGTCATTCAGGAGGCTTCTACTCTAAATTCTGTAGATGCTACACCTGATCTGAGCCTACAAAAGGCTAACAAACTGTTCCCAGGAGTGCTGTGATGGTAGAACATGAAGTAACCATTTCCCAGTAGGTATTAGGCAAACCTGGCAAACACCATCATCAGTTTCTCAACCATGTTTACAAGTGTTGCAAGAGTTGTCCCCTGTTATTATCAATGTCACTGAGCTGATACCGATGCACTTACCAAAAACCTTTGATTACTTGCTGGGGTGAGTGACTCCTCTGCTATAATAGAATCAGACTTTATTTAAAGCAATTGTTGTCCAAAGTCTAACTACTAAATTTTCAATATGCAGAATGTTGTGCATCAACCTTTAACAGAAGCTATTCATTCACACATGACTATTCATCATGGTATAAGCTTTGCACATCAGGCTTTGCACTACCATTACTGGGATTTCTGTGCGAGTGTGAACCCCCAATTCCAATCTAATTTTATACCCCTGGGCCTTCTTTTTAGAGAGATTTTTGTTTTCCACTGATTGCAACTGTACAGGAGAAGTCATCTGCATAAGGCAGGGACAGTGCAATTCCAACATCATTTTGTATTTTACATTGTTCCACCAACCTCAGTTCTCTCTTTGAACTAAGATGTTCATTTGCCTTCAGTCTAATTCAAAAGAAGCACTGACAGTGTAGCTTAACCAATAGCATCCTCTAACATCTGCTTTATGTGAATTGAATAACGACAACATTTGTTTAAATGAATCAAGTATCTACAGCTGGGGCAAAGTTCCATCTGTGAAAGCCCTGTATTCCTTTGGATCTTTCCGTGTGATTAAGACTTCTTAATTTATTAGGCTCAAATGTATGCAGTATACAGTTCTGGCCATTGGCAGTAGTCTACTTGCATACAAGACTTCTCTTGACCTTGTCAAAAATGATAATGGTAGCTGGGAACAGTATTAGTTAGGATGATTGTAGCGAGAAATGCAATCTCTGAAATAACCCTTTTTCCTAAGAAGAACTTAGTGTAGGTTAAACATCATTTAACCTCTTTCCTAGGTTACAAAGTCAATCACAGTGTCTGTCAAAGGCTACCTTTAAAATAAGAAGCAAGTCACATCCCTACTTGTAGGCTGTCTAATGCCACCAGCTCATTCTACTGTTACTAGATTGTGGCATATCAGCCTGATACTTTCCACTGTGGTTTATGTTGTACACTATATTGCAAGTCATACCTCCAAAAGCATTCTTTCATAGGTAGGGACCTACCTAATTCCCAGAGGCTGCCTCTGTATTTTGTGGTCCTGTTGTCACATTTGGGTGGCATTTTTGTGGTAGAATGTGGTGGCTTGCCTGATGCCTCTAGCCAAGGGGCCCTGAAAGTCCTGCCCCTTCCTGGAGAGTGACAGATAGCCACCTGTCAATCTCCTGGGAGCAGGGGACTTTCAGGGCCCCTCAGCCAAACTCTTCTTCCTCTCCCCCCCTCCCTGTACTCCAGGTTGCCAGGGCTTCCCACCCTTTTCTGTTTGCAACTGCCCTTTTGTCCCCACATTGTCTTTCTGCCGTTTCCCCACCTTTTCATGGTCCTCACACTTTTTTGCAGGGACTGGGATTTTTCAGGGGGAACCTATCAAATTTGTGGTTTCTGTGAAACTGTGAATTCGGTAGTTCCCTATTCATAGCCTATAAAAAACAATCTTTTTGAATGTGTCTAGTTTCCAGTGCTGATGACTGTAGTCTGAAGTTTCATCTGAACCTCTGAGTCACCATCAGGCTGTGGTGAAGTGCTTGAGGACAATTACCATCCAAACCAAACAGGCAGCCGAGGTGCGTCTCTCAGGCTGGTTAAAAAAATGGACTTGGACAATTCACAGAAGGCAAGGACTGTGGTAGGGCTGTTCAACCTACCCCAGTAATTAGGATCACTCACTGCCCTGCGGTGGGAGACCTTCAGCTCCATGCTCCCAAATCAGACAGAACTGGGATCCAAGTATGGGGCTCTCAAGCCCAGCCAGCAGGTTATGGAGTGAGGATAAGAGCAACCAAGAGGAAAAGGTTATCATAGAACTGCAGCTCTCCTCCAAATTTCCAATTATTCATTGGGACTCAGGTGCTTAGATACCTTTTATGGGCTTATGGCCTTAGCTATGAATTTTTTTTTCTGATTATACACCACTACATCAAGCTGTGTGGATGCTTTTAATCCAGAATAAGTAGGGTTTTGTTGTTGTTGTAGCTGCTGTTATCACTTAAACTTCTAAATGGAAAACTGAAACAAAAGCCATTCTGATTCCAGCACAGCAGCATGTAGGTGGGGTTGGATTATACCAGTCCAATGATAGTGCTTTGAATTCATACCTAGGATTAATTTTTCCCATGTAGATTTGGCCTCAAATAGGAAAAGGCAGTGGCAAGAAGAGACTAAGACAACAGAGCTTCAGAAGGAATAAAACAGCAGAAGGGAAAGAAAACACTGACACCTTGTGGATGTTGTAATACATTTGTCAAAGAGGAGGAGCTTGGAAAAGCAGGTTATAACAACCCCATTTATATTTCCCATACCCATTTTTCTTGCAGGTTCTACCTCCGCCTCTCTCTCTGGGAGGGAGACAGGTCTCTTCAGCCTGTACCTGCCCAGTCTGACATTAATCTGTAGTTGGTGGTATTAGACCAACTTCATACCAAAAAGTGGTGCTCAAAGGTCCTAGTTTGACCCAGTCAAAGCAGCTTTGCCCCTCTGAAAGAGCTCCTCTGGGGGCCCTCAAGGTCAAGCAGGCAAGAGAACTCTGATAGGAAAAGCAGCTTACGCATGAAAACCAAGAGCTAGCATGTCAGTACAGTACCAAACAACCTGCATCTATATTACCATACATGCTCAGTTACTAACTTGCATTAAGTAAGCCAGATAAATCTTTGTAACAAGAAGGGACTTGGGTTTTCAGTTTCCGACGGAAAAATAGAAAAAAACCCATGGAATTTCCCTTTTACTGGAGAAAAACATGGGTTTTTCATGTTAACAGAGAAACACGCAGATTTTGCTCTTCACAAAGAGCTCTGCAGGCTGGCAGAGTTGCAGCCTGCAAGGGGCAGAGGGGAGAAGGAAGAGGGTGGCATCCTGGAGAGCAGTTCTTGCAGGTAAGTCTGGTGGGGAAGGGGGGTAACTGAGGCCCCCATATGGAGGGAGGGAAGAAGGGTGGGAGTTGGGCAGGGTTGGGCAGGAGCTGCTGACCAGCTAGACAATGCATGGGGCTCCAGGCCCGGGTTGCAATGCACAGTTGTCAGGTCCCAGTGGGAAGTGGGACAGGGCTGAAGGTAGCTCATCCATAGGACAGGGGAGTGGTGGGGGAGTGGGGCCAGCTCCCCACCACTGCATGCACTCTTGTGGGGGGCAGGGAAGATCTGTGCCCCCACATCTATGCACAGGGCAGGTCAGGCTGCCCATGGCAGGCTCAGGCTCCCCGACCCGATGCCCTCCCCTGGGGCCTCCACAGCCCAGCAGGAGGAGTGTGACATGGCAGGGCAGAGTGGGGCCGAGCAGGGAAGCTGCTTACCACTGCCAGCTCTGTGCTGTCCTGGTAATGCACCCCCTGCCTGCCCCACAACAGTGAGGGGCACAACCCCACATGGCCACGCTCACTGCTGCTGGATGGGTAGGGGGGAGCATGTTGCCAGGGCAGCATGGAGCTCACAGCAGCAAGGAGCTTCCCCCCGTAACCCCACTCTGCCCTGCCGCACTGGGTCCTACTCACTGGGCTGCAGAGTGCAGGGGGAGGACAGCAGGGTAGGGAGCATGAGCCTGCTCTGCGCATAGATTGGGAGGGCATGTGCCACCCCTGTCCCCCCATGGAGTGTGAGCAGCAGCAGGGAGCCAGCCCCCCCAACCCTGCCCGAGCTGGCAGCAGGCCTCTGCTTCGGCCCTGCTTCGGGGTGGGGGGGGCAGGAACTGGACTCCCTGCTCAGGCCACAGCAGCCTCTGCAGGTGGCAGCCAGGGCTTGGGTGCTACTTCGGGGGGCAGGGGGCTGTGGACTCAGGTCCCTGGCCCCACAGCCCTGGAAGCTGGAGGCTCCCTCCGCAGGGCTAGGGGAACCAGGGGGCTGTGAGTTGGAAGTGAGGTGCACCAGCAGGGCCAGGGGGCTGTGGGTGGGGAGTGAGGGGCCTGGACCTGCATCCTGGTGGTGATCTAAGGGGGCAGAAGCAGCTCTGATTTTCCATGATAAAAAAACCCAAAATCAAATACCAAAATGTATAGGTACTTAAAATTTATTTTACTATAGTGACTGAGGCACTAATAAGCTTCCAAATTTCTTTAAAATTGTAAATATATCAATAAAATATTGTGTTTAATTGATACTTATAGATATAGTGGTGTTTCATTTTAATTGCAGATTTGGGGGGTTTTAATCAGAGAATTTGTGATTTTTTTTTTTAGCAGGGAAAACCAGGATCCCTGGTAACAAGGTATATATTTATTCATACAGAGAAATTCAGTAGGCCAAACTCTGTCTTCAGGCGCAGAGACGCTACTGTTGAGTTCTTAGAGTCACATGTAGGATTCCAATGAACAGAACCTGGCCTGGCATCTCTTAAATTAATATTGGCAGTGCAGCTTGACAACAATACATAACATTATGTACAATACAAAATAGCAATGTTTTACAAAACATATTACAGTGATTTCACTCCATTTTCCCGTGTGGACATCCTAGCAAACATACTTCTGTGGAAGAAAAGAAAAACATACAGTAAATGAGGGCGCACAAAAAAAATCACAGGATCAATACTTACTTCACAGTAAAAACTAAAGTTAATTAGCCACACTGTGTGTATCCAGTATACAGCTCTACTCGCATCAGAAGCCCCAGAACAGAGTCGAGAAAGGGGTTCAGGATATTCCCAGTAGGGGGAAAAAGGCAGTAAATTCTGAAGGAGCCAACACATTCTACTATCTCAACTGATACTACACATGAAACACCTGTGTAAATGTCTTTTGAAATGCATCTGGGCAGACATGATTATTGCCTTCTCTGCATTTGAAGGACAATCAAGTTACTTGTGTTCTAGAAAACAATTGTTTTTCCAGAACACATAGCTTTTCCTTTTTAAAAGGTATTTTACATTTCACAAAAGAAAAAGAAAGCTCTGATGCTGACATAAGGTAGTTTACAGTAAAAGCCCAGCTGGTCTGTGACTAGCTGGACTGTTTCCAGTGTACACAAGTTGCTAGAGCGGAGCAGGCTATGGGCCTCTTAGACTTAGGTGCAATCCCTTCCACTGATTTTGAAAGGATGATTGAGCTGTACGGTAGTACCTGCTATCAGAGGCTTCAGTGAACAGTATGCAAAAAATAATTGTGTGTAATGTTTGTAATTAATTTGGCTGCTAATGGTAATTTTTTCCTTCTTAAAATTCCTTTTTCATGTCTTTCTAGAATACAAAGCCAAACCCTACAGCCTTCACTCTCAATGCAATGCTTTCACTGACCACAAAGCCCAAAGGAACAAAATATGAGGCAAACTAAATGGAGTCAAGAGGAGGAAATGACCAGCAAACAGAATACTCAAGACTTGTGAAATGCTATAAAGTACAAAATTATCTTCTGGCACTGTCTTGTGATAAAGAATTCCTTCCTTAACACAAGATTTAATTGGTTTGCATCTGGAGCATATCAACTTGTCACTGACACAGCAATGACGACCAGATCCTTCGTGAAGTAGAAGAAACTAATTCCCACTTCTGTGCGTAACCAATTTTTTAGCAAATAGCTAGGCATACAGAAACCACACCCATCCTATTATGCTACCACAGGGGTGTTGAGTGCAGCATGACTAAGTCCTCAGTGACTGGAGCAAAGTTTTGAAAGAAGCTTGGGTAGTATAGACTTTAATTCTGAGAAGTCTGGTTGTAATCTTTTGAACGGATGTATTTACCTCGTCACGATGGCAGCACATCTTGTACACTCCACCGATAAAGCCATTGATTACTTGGATGGAACACAGAATGAACTCAATTCCCCCCAGGAACAGAAGAATGGAAAAGAGGGTCACATTCCATCCAACAATGTTTCGTGGCTCCTGGCACACAGACCACCTGTTCTGCTCCAGGAGGTACCTGTTCACATCAAATTAATGATATGTTAGAAATTCATGCCTCCATGAAGGGTGTAACTTTACTAAGAGGTTCTTAATACACATCAGGAATGCAGTTGCAATCTGGGCCTAATTCAAGTGCCACTATTATTTTAACTTTGGCGGAGCAAAAGCTTACTCCATGCTAAATATGCAATGCTCTGGAATACAGGCGTAAGGTTCTTTTTTTTTTTAAATCAAACTAGAGAGCTGAATACCGTGACTTCAGTCAGGCCTAGGTGAGAGCCAGGAAGGAGTGGTTTTAGGTTGTAGAAGTAGATTTATTCCCCTCATTCTGGAGTTGACCAAGGACTGATCTCATTTCTAGCCTCAAGGCTGCTATCAATAATGCCTGGTTGGCCATAGCTATTCCTGCTTTTCTCCTGGGAATGGTCTTTAAGGCTTGAGCCTAGGTATGGAGATATCTCTTAAGCAAGGGCCTTAGGTGGAACATGGGCCTCTGGAACGATTTGTGGGAGCTGAACACTTCTCAGATGAGTCTCAGAATCTCTCAGGCTTGGGCCCTCATTCTTCAAGCTAGTGACTGCTAACCTAAGCAAACTTCACCATTTGTTGATGTATTGTGTGTCATCCTCTGGCATTTGGAAACATGCTTTGGAATTGTTGACTACAAAGGTCTAAAATAGATTCCTGCAGCCAGTATCCACCCATATCCTCACCTTACAAGCACTAGACACCAATCAGTAAGGGTTACTCAGCTCATCATCTCCTTTCTGTGCCAGTAAAAGCTAAAGAGTCATAACAATAGTGCAGCTGTGTCCTAATTAGAGTGCCTCTGCTACACGGGGACAGTGAAATCTGGCTGCACTTTCTTGATTCTCACACTGGGCCTGTGAAGACACCAGCTATGAATTACAATTACTGGAAATGAGATTATTCAACCATCAGTTGGGCACTGCTGGATTCTGACCAAAGCCTCTCTCCACATTTTCCTGTGACTAATTAAAGTGGCATATGACTCTACTACCCTTCCTCTGTTAGCAGGGGACTCCCAGCTTTCTGGCACCCTGATGCCACTGGAGAAAAGGGAATGAAACCCTAAATCCTTTGTACCTTTTCTGATGGCGTTCCCACCAGCTCTGTATCATTGTAACCATCAGAAACTTACTACTCATTTACACCAAGGTAAAGTAAAACCAAACTAGACCCATTCATTCTATTGTTAGAGTCATACTACATGGTATTAAACCTACACCCCATTAAGACTTCTATTAACTCATGAGCAAACCTATGGGATGTGGGCTACTGCAGGTTGCTTTTCAACTCTAATACCACTCATCCTGCACAATCTTTACAATTTAAAACCCAAATATATTGAGATTCTCTTTCTAAGCTGATGATCAGCAGAGTCCTAGAAATATTTGATTGCTTACCATAAAGTAGTGGGAGTGGGATATTAATTGAAATACTGAATTTAGTTCATGACATCTTAATCATTAAGCCAATAAAGAGTTTTGCGCAGGTGGTGCTCCTAGGAAGGAGAGAACCTCTCATGCTAAAAGACAGCCTAAATTGGCCATGAAAAGGAACGGGAAATATTTTGGAGAGAGCTCAGTATCCACCTTCTACAGAATATTATGGGTGAGGAAGAGTCTGCTGACCACCCAGGAAAATATTTTCACACTCTTATGGGTAGAGGCCCATATCCAGTAGTTGCCAAATAGTTTTTTTCCTCATAATTCTGGCACTGGAAAGCTCGGGATAATCTTGAATCTCAGCCTATATAGACTGGAGAATTCTTTCCTCACTGGGAGGCCACCAGCTTTGGAAGACAAATAGATCACTGGAGAGGGACTGCTCTGTGGAAACACTTTACTGTAAGCCCAAGAAAAATTGTTTAGCAGCCACATATTGGTTCTGACTTAAGACGGCTTACTTCCACTGCTGTACCTCTCAGAACAGGGACTGCTGCATCTCAAGTACTACATCCCTACTGTACAGCAGCAGGGTATTAGACCCTAAAAACACCCTGATGTAAAATCATCAAAGACATCCCTCTTAAGAGATGTGGACCTGGCACCCCTTACTTACATGAGAAGTCCTTTATGGCCAGTGGAACTACTCATTTGAATAGGCAACAAATGATTGGGCCTATTTCTCTTATCATTTACATCAGTGAGAATCACCCCCATATGGGAGTCAAGACCCAAACATAGGGATATAGTCAGGCATATAAGAATCCTGCCCCTGGTATTCCCATGCAGCTGTCTGCAGTATGGCCGCAGACAGACCACTTACTCTCCAGAGGAGTTATGGAAAGGATAGACCCAGGTATTTTCTGTGCTGGACAAGCAGTAAGGCCCATGTGATAAACCCAGAGCTGAAATGATGATACAGTATCCAGAACCAAGGATTCCAATGAAGGCCGCCAGAACAGAGGACAGCATCTGCAGAGGGAACACAGACAAGTACTCAGCATTGTGACCACTCCTCCTCCAGCCCATCCCAGAAAGAAGCAGCAAGAAAGCTCACTTACGGCGCAGCTTTCCCCACAGTTCTCATGGCCGCCACACCCGCAGCAGTTCTCATGTTCTAGGCTAATGAACACAGCAGCAGGGATGAATATCTAGATACAGACAAAAGGACATCATATCACTTTGACTTTTTAGTTGTTGCATAGAAAGTGCAGATCAAATAGGATACTCGTTTTGTCTCTGCCTAGACTTTTTAAAAATTGCACATAGCAGATTCAGTCTTGCTCCCCTTAACCTCAATGGGAGTTTTCCCACTAATCTCACCAGCATCAGGATTTGGCTCAGGAAGAAAAGAATTTCACACAGCATCTGGTGGGATGGAATCCTGAGCCGTGGCTGGTGACACACTGGTTACCAAAGAAAAGCAGCAGCGGTTTGTGTGGTAAAACTTCTCCCAGGAACAGTGCTTGCCAGTGGAAATGGGGGAAAAAAATCTTTATGTAGAAAATGTTTTTTTCCTGAAGTTTTCCAATTCCAAAGCTCCTATGAAGACTGTGCGCCAAAACCTCTCATCTATTTATGCATCTTGGATCTTCCACGGGGGGAATATTTGTAAAACAAACATTCAGACTCGTACATTTTCAGCATGAGGAAGTGGAAAGCATGGCCTGCTAGATAAAACATAGAACTCCTGAGGTCTGTTCCTACTTCTGCCAATGGCCAACTCCAATGTTAGTTTGTGCATATACCATTGTATACACATTATCCAGGGATACATCACAAAATCCTTTGCGCAACAGATTTACTCTACAGATAAAATCAACCACAGAGTTTCTGTCTCAACTCACACCCAGGGCCCCAAGGCTTCAAAGCCATATGCAGAGATACCTAATGGTAAGCAGGTTCACTGAAGCTGATCTGGGACTCTTTGCTCTATGTAAAGTTAAACAGATCTTTTCCAGATCATACTCTGAAGCTCCATCTGGGCCCCACACAAGTACAGAAATCATCCTGTACAGGGGTCAGGGCCTAGAGTAGCAATATGTTGTGCTGTAAGGAAAACTTTCAGTTCTTTACAAGAGCAACCTAAAAAGCCTTTGCTATTTGTCTAGCATGCAGGTTTGATAACAACCAGTTTTCAAATTTCCCTGAAAAAACATCTAGGACATGGTTGTAACCACAGTGTCTCCCAGGATCTCGGGTACCTATTGAAGGTATGATTGCTACTTTTCACCATACTTTTACAAAAGGAGAATATTCTCAATAGTAAACCAAAATGCAAACATGTACACACATCAGTAGCTTTACTCACATGTGTAGTCTAATTGCACATTATTGACCTTATTTGCATTTCTTTAGTCATACAAACTGACTCTAAAAAACACCCACATTTATATCATACCAAATGGCAGGTATGATTCCTTTTACTTCTTTTCATAGCACTGTATATTTATATGCTACTAATAATGAGTTCCAAAAGCTTGCTAACTATGCATTCAGACAAAACAGAAACCAGAGAGAAAAATGTAAATCTTGGGGTTGTTTAAAGAAACAAAACAGATAAGGAAAAAAACAGTAACAACTTACCAGGAGGCCTCCTCCTACAATGCCATGGAGGCACCGTGTGTACTTGCTAAGACGATATTCTGAAGCATACCTTGTTTCGCCATTAGGAAAGTAAAGCAAAATGTTTGCCACCATGCAAAACACAGCAAAAATGAGCAGCTTGTATCCAATGCACTTAGCACACTTGCCAAAACACATGGTGGCACTTTTACAAATCTTTCTTGAGCAGCTCAGTAATACCACAGGCCAACCTGCGTGGCACCCCTCTAATAGGGAAGGAGAAACAGTCTCGAGTCACACCTGCTTAAATACTCTGAGTTTCTTAGTTACCTGGATGATGTTTACATGTGTACATGACTGTCAATCCCAATTGCAGAATAGGGAAGTGAGAGGAGCAGAATGTTACCACCTTTTTAAATGACACGTTTGTTGACAAGCGAAACCCAAGGAAGGGAATTAGTCAATTGCCGCAGCATTCACTGTTAAGCATGAGCAAGAGCAGACGTGCTTAGGCATGAACAGCAGACTTAACCTATGATGTAAGCTCTTCAGAGACTTGGAAAAAGTTAAAAGAAAGAGAACTTGAAACAGTTTCAAATTCTACATTTATAGACTGATTCAATACACATTTTTGAAAGCAAAGCATTCCTCTTTTCCGACCTGAAGAATGCTTTGCCTTCAAAAGCTTGTCTAACCCTATCCCAACAATACAGATGCTGGGCCAATAAAAGATAGCACCCCCAAAAAATCCTTGCCTCATAATCTGTGGACCAATATGGCTACAACATCATTCTACCACTAACCATAATGAGTATGTACATGGTAAGCCATGTTTTGAAACCCTTTAATTATTTTGGAGGTTGGTTTTATCTTGTTTGTTTTTGTTTTTTTTAATATTCACATACAAGAATTTATGCAGTTACTGTAATAAAAAAAATAGTCTTAAGTCAATAGACTTCAGAGTAAAATCCTGATTGCTTCACTTATGATTCTGTTCTTTGATTTATACACATGACTTCAATTGGGCTATTCATGCAAGTACTGCAAGCAGGGCTTGAACTTTAAAAAGGACACAGAGAATATTCTATTCTTGTAACGATGTGGAGTCACAAGGTAACCCTCCGGGTATTGTAGCTATTAGCCTTGGAGACTTCCTCCGATATGAGAGAATATCCTTCAATTGTCAGAAGTGTAAACTTGAAGATATTGTGTGCATTACACCTTTGATTAATTTAAACCAAATGCAAACATCAATCTGCAGGTTTCCTCCACAGGAGAGTCTAGATTCTAACTAGATTAATCCTCAACTGAAAACTCCCTGCATTATGTTAAATTTTAAAAAATATGATCTCTGGAAACTAGATAAAATAAACTGTTTTGTGTATAAATTATATAATTCCATATTCCTAATAAAGCGTAAAGAATGACACACAGCCAACAAGTACTTATGTAATATTAAAATATTAGTTTCGTTGTGAAACAAAATAACTTTTTCCTTCAGACCCAAACTAATTAAGAAAAAAGTGCCTGAAAATTAATTTGGTCTAGAAGATGCCTCATGTTTGAATACAGCTAAAATCTAACAGGCTTATAAAAATGGGGATTTCTGTTTTTACTCTCTTTAATGGACCAACAAGCACTTGCTTACATGCAAGGAGTTTCTATTGTGCTCCTGTCCGCCTCTATCCATTTGTTGTCTCTTGTCACACCCATACATACATAGAGCAGCCTGACCCCTAATCCAGGGGATGCAAAACACTGAGCTATAGGCTACTTGTATGGCCTGGTGCAAATTCCTACATCTCTGTGCCAGCTTTGTCAACTGTAGGATGTGGATGATAATAGTAACTCCATCTGGCATGGTCTGTTTAAACTGTGATCCCTTCAAGTCTCCTGACGTGTACATAGGGCATTTAGCACAAAAGAATCCCCAATCTAGGTTGAAGCCTTTAAGCACTAACATAATAGAAATAACAAGAAAGAAATAGGGATTTTATTACCCACAAGAATTAGCTACTTAAATTGCTTCTCACCCTCTGAGTCTAATTCCTTAACATGTGATATGCCCCTGTGACTCCTATTTGGATCCATGTGAGCCATTATGGGGGAATCATGAAACAATCAGAAAATCAGAGCCCTGGCTGTCTGCCCCAACCAGACATTCACCAGGCTGCTGTGTTTTGCTCCCACCTAGACCTAGATGCTCTGTCTCCTTGATTTCAAGTAAGCTCCAGCACTGGCTCTTTCTTTAGCCTCCCTAGCCGACTTCCAGGGTACAGCCTCTCTGTTATCAGGTTGCAGCCTAGTGACCCAGTGCTGAATCCTTACGCCACTGTAGCACACCCTTTAGCAGCTGCAACTTGTGGGCTCCCTGGGTTTACAGATCAGGAATGTGCAATAGTGGAAGCAAATCAGTTTTGTTAAGATCCCAGAAATCAATAAGATCTAAAAAACCCCACAATACTTCTGTACGTCATTCCCTGCCTAACTTTCTCACCAAAACTGAAAGTTCTTGGACTGCAGTTGGACTGCTCTATGATGTTGTCCAGAATACCCTCCTTTCCCTTTGGGGCTTGGATTCTGTTCTCCATACTAGGTTTCTTTCCATTTACCCTTGAAAAGGCCAGAAAGAGAATCTTCTATAACCTCTTAACCACTGACCCTCCCACTCCATATCAGCTTCATCACATAAACGAAAGTTCCCCACCAGATGGTCCATTGCTTAGTTATCCCCTTGATTTTTCCCCCAGTTCAGACTTGGAAAATTAGTTTATGCAGGCAGTAGCCAGCCCTTTGTCCACAAATTTTCCATGTGAAGGGACTACTATTAGTGCTAAACTACCTTTCACTATATTAACTCACAGCAATTGTGCTCATCAGGTCCTGTTCTTATCTCAGTACAGCAGGGAAGGCAAATGTGCCCTCATTCAAAACAGAATTTGCAGTCTGACACAGAGTCTCCAGTCTCAAAGTGGATTCATGAACTGTACGTACATACGTTCCTCACAGTGTTAGTGTGGCCTAAAGAAACATAACAGAAAAAAGACCAAGATATCTAAAGACTCAGGTAGGTTGTCCAGCCTTTCTTACTCAGTGAAGCAGCAAAACTGTTGCAATAATGGACCCCATTTATGTCCCAGGACCTATGTAAAAAGGGAGAGAGAGGGATCAGAACAGGGAGGCTGAAAATCACCCTAAACTATAGGTCCTATGCTACAAAACAACAGTCTCAGCTAATCTGCATGTGAATTGCACTCAATAGGAGTACAGTGCAAACATTACCAAAACTTCCACCCACCTCTAGGGAAATATGGGAGAGACAGGTCTGAGCACAACTATTAAGAAACAGTTTCCATGCATCAGTATCATGAATATGGAGAAAGAAGCAACAGAAACACATCTTAATAATAAAAGCAGTATCATACCATTCTGTACAGCCCAGGTGGTCAGTATAACACATTCAGAAACAATTAATCTCTGTATGGGATGACAATAATCCAATTCTCCATGTACTCAGTCTTGCTCTCTACCATAGTCACAGTGACTTATATGGAAAGAATATAACATTTTGGGATGTTGCATGTCACATTACATAGCCAGTTTTACACACAGTCATATTTAAGCGACATTCCATATGTTGTCAGTAATAAAACAGTTTAAGTAAGGAATACAATTTGGGCAGTGTTACAGGCCAATCACTGCATAGGACCTTGACTTGACATACTATCTGAACAGCTACTCTATGACATCTGATGGCACCCTTCAACAAGCACACGTCAAAACACAGCATGTTTACAGACAATGCAGAGGAAATTCCCAGCCAGTTGGAACAGCTATCACCTCAGCTGGTGAATGCCACTTAGAATCATAGAAAATAAGGGCTGGAAGGGACCTCAGGAGGTCATCTAGTCCAACACCCTGCTCAAAGCAGGACCACCCCCAACTAGATCATCCCAGCCAAGACTCTGTCTAGCTGGGTCTTAAAAACCTCCAAGGATGGAGATTCCACAACCTCTCTGGGTAACTTGTTCCAGTGTTTTACTAAACTTCTCATGAGAAAAAATTTCCTAATATCTAAACTAAACTTCCTGCCACAACTTGAGACTGTTTCTCCTTGTTCTGTTATCTGCCACCACTGAGAATAGTTTAGCGCCATCCTCTTTGGAACCACCCATCAGGTATTTGAAGGCTGCTATTAAATCTCCTCTCAGTCTTCTCTCCATCAGACAAAATAAGTCCAGTTCCCCCAGCCTTCCCTCAGAAGTCATGTACCTCAGCCCCTAACCATTTATGTTGCTCTCTGCTGGACTCTCTCTAATTTGTCCACATACTTTATGTAGTGGAGGGCCCAAAACTGGACGCAGTACTCTAGATGTGGCTTCACTAGTGCCAAACAGAGGGGAAGAATCACTATTGGCTCTGACAAAAAACTACCTGATGCCCAGAAGATGATCATGTGAACCCTACACTAAAACCAATAAAAGGACAGATTTCCTTACAGAATCCAGATGTAACACTGGAGCTCAATGCTACAAGAGATAACTGTGTTCATGGGATTAGTGGGATTGTGAAAAGGATTAGATATTTGTATAAACAGTTATAGTGGAGCTAAATCCTTTTGCTTTATAAAATACAACTGCTAGCTGACAGGATTAGAAAAACACTTCCCCTTTGGGGATCCTGTTATGTAATGATGACTACAGGTTCTCTCATACTTTCTTGTGAGCATCCAGTACTGGCACTGTCAGCAATGAAACTACAGATGGAGGCCCCCCTGCAAGGGCACCATGTTTTGATCGAAACACACTGTGCTGGGAAGCTGACGAAACAATAGGTGCACCATGGTAATGCTTGGAAAATATGAGCAATGCCCTGGTGCACATTAGCACAGTTGGGGCCTGTGACATAGGTGTGTTTTCACAGCCTAACCCTTTGTACATTATTAAGTTACATGGTTCAAATTCTTACTTTTATGATGCTCTTGGTCATATTGGCAGGCAGAGGCTCAGACGGCTGCCAAGAGTGTGGTTATTGTGCTGTCACCTCTCATCTCCACAGTTTGGAATCTTTTTGCCCATCATATAAAAAAGAGCTCAGAATGACCTTACATTTCTTCACCCATAGCTGACACTGCCTGATTTACAAGTGATGCAATGCTCAGGTTTTCCATCTGTAACCTCTTCATGCTTCACTGATATACAGCAACCGCCCTGCCCCGCCCATACTCTGTAGTTCTGCTAAAAATCAGATACCTAGCTGTGTGCATCATCTTTACCAATGAGCTAATTTATTCATCAAACGTACAGCATATGCCAATCCACTATGTTAAATGTCTGACAAATGATTGACAGCTATGATGTAAATTACCCACGGTATTCTGCAACATCATTGCCATGTAGAACACTACACAGTATTATAATGTACGTGACGTTACATAAGGCTTCGTTTGTTAGTTCTAGAACTGACTGAAAAGGTTTTTGTGATAAGTTTCAGGAAAAACAAGACCGTAGGCCAGAACCAGTATGGGTTCAGCACACAGGGATGGTCTACAGGTGCAATTCCATGTGCTGGATCTGGCTGTAGCACCACCCACTGTACTGTATCCAGAATGGTGTCATCTGGCCCACAGGGCTCTCCACAGGGTGGGTAATTTGGCAGTAGAGGACTACTGGCTGAGTGGTGCAGAGCTGCCAATGCTCCCCCACCAACAAATTTCCAGCCTTGTGGAAAGCCCTGTGGGCTGGATGTCACAACCCCATGGGCCAGAGACAGTCTGCAGGCTGAGCACTGCTGATTTAACCAAAGTTCGTTTCCCCCATCTGTGAAACAAGGGCAGTAGTACTTGCCCACTTCTGTAAATTGCTTCCATATTTTCAGAAGAAAGAGGCTATGCAAGTGCAAAATACTACTGTCACTATACGGCAAGAAGAGAACAGGTTGTAGTGTGTACAGTATGCAGTGTGGTTGCACATATATCCTAGTTGTAGATGAAGTTGGTGGGGAGAACCTGAAACCGATGCTGCCAGTATGTTAAAAACATCTAGCTTTGTGACTCCCCCTCCCCCACCATATATCTGTTGCAATACACACAGAACATGAAGGAGGTGACAGTTTTTGCATGCCATGTTCTTAACTGTGGCACCAGGCATTCTTGCAGAATTATTTAATGTATTAGGCAGGTGACTAGAATATGAATACAGAATATGGCTGCTGACTAGACGGGAGGAGACCTGGGCTATTTCTCTGGCTTTGCTACTGGTTTGGCAATGCCTTAAATCTCTCTGTACACCTGGACAAAGGATGCAAAGATGATAATAATGGGAAAATTTTACCCAATGTGAGTAAAGGGCTCCCATTTTGCATGGTCCCTTGCAATGTCTTCTTTTGTCAAGTCAGGATAGGAGGATGTGAGGCTTCTTGTAGCTCTCAGAATTGTATTTCCCAGCTTTATTCACAACTTACCTTATTTTCCACTGTCTCCCAGTTTGGCTCTGCAGGTCTTCTGGCAGAGCAGGCTGCAGACCAAAGAAGAAATGTACTCTGACCATGATCCCACTGTGGTCATCTCACTCTCACTTTGCACAGACTGCAACTGGCAGGGCTCATCTACATAGTTCCTCATTTTAGAGGAATGCATCAGCAGAACCAAGGAATATATCATAACTGCTGACATGGAAGGCTGTCTGTTGATAGAACAACACTTGCAGCTTAGTTGTTCCATCAACACCCTGCCAGCTAAACAGAATTCTTTGAAGATACTGAGATATAGGACCAATCCAATATATAACTTCTTTGGTCACAGAACTGATGAACCAGCCAAATCAAAGTGTAAACTCATTCAATGCAATAGCCAGGCAGTCACAGCAGATGTCACATCTATGTTATGGGAGGCATACACAGCCCTGGTTTAATTACTTTCACTCTTAAGTCCCATAGGTTCTACAGTTTTTGCCATGCTTCCAGCATCACCTACAGCTGACAGATACTTTTCCAACCAGATCCACAACATTTGTATTCTCAAGATCCTTTAAGGACGATTCCTTAAATTTTACTTCTCCTACTTTAGCCTCAGTCAGTTCGATCAACAGATAGTTAACTGAAATATGACAAACACTAATGAACAAACACATCCCTGATGTACTCCAGATTTTAACTGATCCATAAGTCTCAATATTCATCTTTACATGACTAACTATTATAGGAAGATTCCCGCAGTAAGCATACCAGTTGTTGGTGTAGCAGTAAAAACAGTGCTAGTCAACATTAACCACAATAAAACATAATTTTGCAGGGCCTCCTTTTTCCATTCCAATCAGACTATAAAAGCAATTTAAGAAACATTTAATAAGTAAAAAGAAAATAACCATTGAACATTACATTTTTATTTAATTTCCATTGTTCCCGAACAGCTATTTGCTTTTGACTCAAAAAAATAGAAAACTCTTTGGCTATACCAATGGACAAACATTCAGAATCTGATCAACATACAATGTTACGGAATCATTATTCCTCTCACAAGATCCTTATAATTTAAGCATGCAATAATCCTTGTGATGCGAGGAACAGTAGGGAAGGGAGCAAATGACATTACATCCATTAATTAAAAAAGGCATTTTTTGCTGATCTTTCATGTGATTGTAATACCCACTGTACTCAATACAACAGAACATGGAAATTAATCCATCACAGAATCATATGAATGTACAGCAGCTCTGACAGTTTGGATGATGTCCAAAGGCACGGTTTTGATTTTTACCTGATGTCCCTATAGAGCACATTTGCTTAGGGTATGCTAATATCCCATTGCACAGCCATCTCCTCGGGGATCCGATCCTGCCCAAAGGATGTTTTGCAAGCTCTTGGAAGACAAAGAGTCCAAAGACTTCCACCAATCTCCTTTAGTGATAATCTGACCACGGCCAAACAGGCTCCTGTCATGCCCACTTATGGGCCAGTGGCTGCAGTGACCTCTGGCTCTCAAGTCTTCTGCAACCGCTTGGGGGATACCATCTTCAAGTGACAGACGCCATTTACTTTCTGTTAAAGAAAAGAATGCTCACTGACATCTGCTGAAAGAGGCTATTCCAAGGGTAATTCAATACCCTTCAGTCTAGCCCCAAAATTTCTTTGACAATAGAACCTGAACAGAACTAAAGCATTGTGGCCACTGAACTTTAACCCAGGCCTCAGATTTTGCTTGGCAGCAAGAACTGAAGGAAAACTCTTTCAGGAAGACAGGGGGCTAGAATATGACAAGTTTTGCATGAAGAGGAAGGGATGGGGAAAGAAGCAAGGCAGCAGCCTTCCCTTGAACACCAGCAGAGAGGCTTCCAGCCCCTGCATGCTCTAGCTACCAAGAGAAAGTAAATACTGCCTGTGGTGAAAGGCTCCTCAAAGAGGTGAAGACAAAACTAAGGAACTAATCCTTCCTTTTCACATTGCTGGTGGACTGAAGCTGATACTGGGAGACTTGGAGACTTCAGCTTCCAAGAGAAGAGGCCACCTTTGAGAACATGCTGCTGTCAGCAGTGGCAGCTGAGTCAGTTGCTTGACTGTGTAGATACAAAATGCCTCTGAAACTGCTTTTAGTGAAGTAGACTGCCAATGACAACCCTCCAAGACTAACTTTTGCCCCACAATGAAGTAATAACGCTCTTACTGTTTTCATCAAGAGCTGTATAGGCACATAAAAAAGAGCTGAATTTTATATTTAGGGTAAACACTGGAACAAAATTTGTCACCTGTACAAAACATGAGCTGGTATGGAAACCAACCATTGAGAAATGAAACAAATGCCCTCTGGAGATATTCCAATTACAAAAACACATGGCCCGTTCTCATTGTATTTAATGATGGGATGTTATAACCACCATGTTGATTGATTAGAATCTCATGCTTAGGTTACTGGATACACTAAACATGATACAAGAAGTAACAGCCAGTCAAATCTTTGCAAGATCCCACTCTACACAAAATATTGATTTTCCTTCCAGATATTTCTAGCAAATCTCTAACCCAATTCCCAAACTAGGTAAACTATCCAGGCTTAAAACACATCTACTCACAAGTGAGAGGTTTTCTATGTCGGTGATGGTAATCTGAAAGTTAACTGTGAGGGGAAAATATACCCTCAGAAACAAGGTGGGACTGACTCCAAGGCACTGCAGTGTGCCAAATTAACAATCATATTGTAGCATAGAAAGCAATACTTCTTTGTTCAGAATCACTACATACTAATAGCATCTCCATATCATCTCATAAACTACAAAGTGCTGGAGGCAGCCAACACTGACAGCATAGAGTATGGTGTTAACTGTCATTACACAGCAGAGTAAGAGCTTCCACTGTAAGAGCCATTTATCTAACCAAGCAAAGTAACTACATAACAGAAAATGGCCCCAAACTTTTGAACTGAAAGAAACATCCTTATTTGCAACTTAAGTGATTTACTTTGTGAATGATGATGTTTAAAAGTCATACCTTCTCTGGAATAATCCAAACAAAACCGGGATGCATCCAAGGCTTGTTGAGGGTCCATGCCAAACTCCAGCATATTGAGCAGCACCTTTAGAAAGCACAAATAAGTAAAATGTTAGCGCATACAAAGCAGCAGCTAAAAATATATCTCATAAGCTTTCAACATCACAGGAAGACTGTTGATCTGCAAAAAAGCTTCACTGTCCTGGCAGAAATCACATTTTCTCCTCAAGTGTTTTGTTTTCTGTATTGGATAACAAATATTAGAAACCAGACAGTAAATAGACTGCAGATAACTAAAGAATGGATGCTGAAATAGCAGAATGTTACTACCATGTCCGATGTCATATGACATTTTATTATCTGTCCATGCCATGTATGTAAAATGTCCATGCTGAAATGGAAACTGGCCAGTTGCTGACAAAATCAGCAATGGGATAAAACGCAAAGCAAAAACCACTACTCTTTTGGCCTACAGATTTGCATTGCCTGTCCTGAGGATTCTGAAATAAAAAGACCTCATAGCACTATTTTGCTTCTAAGGATCTGTAATATATGCCAAAAGGCTCACATTACCTGAACATGTCCCTGAGGCTGCATGAAGCCACCCATTACTCCAAAGGAGCACAAGAGATCCTCAGTGTCAGCAGCTGTAGCTAGAGCAGGAAGGCCGTTTTCCTGGTGCTAGACAGTTCGGGTGGCCGGGAAACAGGGAAAAACCGGCTCCTCTATTCTGAAAATAAACACAGATACTAAGTTAATAAAATCCTTGACCTTGAAGTAATACTGCGTAATAGTCAGTAACTTTTCAAGACATTGACCAATTAGCTGTTGATTGATATGGCATTTCCAATTGATATACGGAGTTTGGGAAAAGCAAAAACAGCTCATAAAAGACATTCCTACATAAGAAGGGGAGCATTATTGCATATATGCAAGTAGGGAGGCAATGGGATGTGCTTAGAACCCACACACATGTATGGAAAATCCCCGTATAAATATGATCATACCCAAGGGACAACCTTAGGGAAGATTCCTGCACATCAATAAGGTCATGCTCAGGTGAACTCCTCTCATACTGTGGTACTGCCAATCACTCTCCAGGTGGCAGCACATAGCAACTGTCACTGGACATTTATGACTCTGAAGCATGGGATCTATTTCTGGGCTTCATCACTTAAATCAGAGAAGGTCATGCGAGCTCTTGGCTCCTCTCCAGAGATGAGTTTGGTTTTGATCTGGAGACAGAATTTGGAAAAGGTTTTGCAGTAACACAATTTGCAGAGAGGCTTGTACAGTCACATGCCAAACAACTTGCAAGAATGGCCACATGCACGTATGGCCATGTACAGGCACTGTTTCTACCAGGAGATTCTGCTTTCCCAGTAGAAATTATGAGTGTACAAGCATTTATTCAACTTCTCCTAGGGAAACATGCCCCTTCCAGGAAAAAATCTTCCAGGTGAGAAATCACCACCAATAGAAATGAACGCCTATTCGCGGCCTATACAAGAATCCATTTTAGTCTTCCTTCAAATAAGTATCAGCAATGCAGTATACCTATAATTAGCAGCTACATATAAAAATTGACCACACATCCACATACAAAGCAACATAAAAATGTAGCTACGTTTACAAGCCCAGGCAAACATGGACTCAAACACCTGCTACACAGAATTTACCTAATAATCATATCATATATTGCACTCCAACAGTGGAAGAGACAATGTGTCCGAGTAAAGTAGAATATGAATAGAACGAAGCATGTTTAGAGGGACTGTGTCATTCTCTTGTGAGATTTCATACTGCTGCTACACTATTGGAGCATCCTCTCTACCTGGCATGTCCTCAGTAGCTGAATTTTCCAGACATTTTTCAGCCCTGTGATGGGTGCTGTGCAATGGTATCCTGATCACCACATTCATGAACAGAGACTGGCATAGGGCCCTCCTGACCTTCATCAATTACTCTATAAGCCTGTACATGTGTGTACACCCTTGTAAAGTACAGGGTATATCTGCTTGCTCATGTTGCAGAAATACTTCAGTTAGATGTTGATTTGGATCCCCTTTTGGCAAATATTCCCCCTGGAACATTAACAGAATAACAGAAAAATCAGGGTTGGAAAGGACCTCAGGAGGTCATCTAGTCCAACCCCCGGCTCAAAGCAGGACCACCCCCAGCTAGATCATCCCACCCAATGCTTTGTCTAGCTGGGTCTTAAAAACCTTCAAGGATGGAGACTCCACAACTTCTCTGGGTAACCTGTTCCACTGCTTTACTACCCTCCTAGCAAGAGAGTTTTCCCTAATATCTAACCTAAACTTCCCTTGCTGCAACTTGAGACCATTGCTCCTTGGTTCTGTTATCTGCCACCACTGAAAACAGTTTCGCTCCATCCTCTTTGGAACCACCCTTCAGGTAGTTCTATTAAGGAAGGCTGCTATTAAATCCCCCCCCTAGTCTCCTCTTCTCCAGACTAAATAAGCCCAGTTCCCTTATCCTCTCCTCAACAGTCATGTCTCCCAGCCCCCTAACCATTTTTGTTGCCCTCTGATGGATTCTCTCCAATTTGTCCACATCCTTTCTGTAGTGGGGGCCCAAAACTGGACACAACGCTCCAGATATAGCCTCACTAGTGCTGAATAGAGGAGAAGAATCACTTCCCTCAATCTGCTGGCAATGCTCCTAATAATGCAGCCCAGTATGCTGTTAGCCTTCTTTGCAACAAGGGCACACTGCTGACTCATTTTCAATTTGCTGTCCACTGTAATACCCAAGGTCTTTTCTGCAGAACTGCTGCTTAGCCAATCGGACCCCAGCCTGTACTAGTGCATGTGACTGCGCCATCCTAAGTGCAGGACTTTGCACTGTCCTTACTGAACCTCATGAGATTTCTTTTGGTCCAGTCCTCCAACTTGTTGAGGTCTCTCAAAATTCTATCCCCACCCTTCAGCATATCCACTCCTCCCCCCAGCTTGGTATCATCCACAAATCTGCTAAGGGTGCATTTCATCCCAGCTTCCAAGCCACTGAAGAACCAGGGGACCAACCCCTTGGGCTCTCCACTTGATACCAGCTGCCATCAAGCCATTGACTTCTACCCTCTGAGCCCAATTATCCAGCCTGTTTTCTATCCACCTTACAGTCCGTTCATCCAACCTGTACTTCCTTAGCTTGCTTGTGAAAATGTTGTTGGAATTCATATAACAAACCTTGCTGAAGTCATGATATATCATGTCCGCTAGTCTCCCTGCATCCACAGAGCCAGTCACCTCATCATAGAAGGCAATCAGGTTGGCCAGGCATGATTTGCCCTTTGGTGAATCCATGCTGCCTCTTCTTAATCACCTTCTCCTCCAAGTGCTTAGAAATGGATTGCTTGAGGACCTGGTCCATGATTTTTCCAGGGACTGAGGTGAGGCTGACTGCTCTGTAGTTTCCTGGATCCTCCTTTTTCCCTTTCTTAAATATGGGCACTATGTTTTCCCTTTTTTAAGGCCACTATATTTTCCCTTTTCCAGTCATTCAGGACATCTCCCAATGGCCATGAGTTTTCAAAGATGATGACCAGCAGCTCTGCAATCACATTGGCCCAGCTCCCTCAACACACTCGGGCGTATCCTGTCCTGCCTCATGGACTTGTACGTCAGGCTTTTCTAAATATTCCCTAACCTGTTCTTTTGCCACTGTTGGCTGCTCACCTCCTCCCCAAACTGTGCAGCCAGGTGCAGTAGTCTGGGAACTGATCTTTCCGGTGAAGACAATAAAATATTCTTATTTTATTTTCGTTTATTTCTTCCCCACTCAACCTACTCCTACTTTGTTTATAGTTCCTTTCCCCCTGTGGATATTCTATTCAGGTGGCTTCCAATTTCACAGTTTCTCACCTTTTTGTATCTGTTGCTGGACTTTTCCTACAACCTGAAGCTGGCCTGAACACATCATACCAGTACTTTGTGGTACTTTTGATTGCTCCCTTCCCATCAAAATGGTTTCCCTTTTTTCTTTCACTTGCTATCTTTGTGCAGCAGCTGGAACACTTGGTGACATTTCTTCACCAGGCATTCCTAAGGATCTCTTCTATAGCCAAGGAAATGAACATGGCATTATGAACAGCATACATCTGTTTGGTATGACAAGTCTATCATTGCATACTACAGCGTGGACAGAAAACAAAGCAAACAGTAGAATTACCACACCTCAAAGAGCTAAAACAGAAAAATGAAAATTATCTAAACTGATGCAAAGAAAGGAAAGAAAGAAAACATACAGTTAGTGCCACCTTTTTAGATTCAAGAAAGTAGACAGGGACTATGCCCAGCAACAAGTGCATTAGAAATTTTCATTGTCTAAGCGACTTGAGTACTTATGTCCCACTTTCAGATGCATGCTTAGACAATAAAGTCTCCTTTACAACTAATGGGAT